CAATGGTCCAAGTCACATTTTGCACTCGATTGAAAAAGCTAAGATTCGTCGATATACAGATGACACCCTCGTGCAAGTGTTGGTACACGCAATATTGTGTCAACTCGTCACTAACGATAGCAAAGCGCGTGTGAAAAAAAACACTGCGCTTATCTCTCTCATCTGGGGAAAGAAAAAGAAAAACAAAAGCCAAGAAACTTCGAAACGGCACGAGACAAGACTAACAACAGCCATGTGAACACACGAGCTGTATATATATATATTTATAGGTGTATTTCGGATTCGGCACATCTCTCGTTTTACGGCCCGGTTATTTGCTCATCAACCGCAAGATTAACCGCATTAATCCCCCCCGATAGTTGCAGCGGAGTCTGGCGGAGCGTGCACCGTCGCTCTCCGCTCGGCTCGAACGAAGTGAGAAAAACACCGATGTTAAACCACATCTCACCCATCTACACCTATATACTCGTATTTTTTTTTTTTTTTCTTCTTCTCTTGATCAGTGCTCGTTTCTCAACCGCAGTGTCGTAGTGTTTGACTTTGCACTTTACGATCAATTTATTGCACCTATACGTACGCTAGTGTGTTTTTTCACGTGCGTGTTTGACTTGTTACTCACAGGGAACACCTAATTTTTGAGGCTGTACTCAGGAACATTGAATTTTTCCTCTTCGGCGAGTCGTAATTTTTCCTTAAACGCGAATAATTGAAGACTTTGACGGGAATCGGCGTGCGATCGTGATTCAAAGGAAAAATTTAAGAAAAAAAAAAAAAAAACACTGAAGCACAAATTGAAGATAAAAATAAGTCGCTCATCGATCATCTTTGAGCGAACACATTGGATTACAAGTTAAAATTACTTTACAGGTCTCAAATAGACTTATAAAAAGAGAGAGAGAGAGAGAGAGAGAGAAAAAAAAGATTAATATTACGCAACAGAGGAAACAATAAAAGGTGAACGGCCTACTTGGAGGGGTACGTGCCGTAGCCCTTTCGGAATATAAATTTTATTTTTTTTGTTCATCCTCCACATGATGCTACAAGAGCTGGCATTGTTTGCCGACAAAAATTGACAGTCGCACGGGAGACTATTTGTCGCGGCTATCGCCTCCATTGAATAAAGACTTTTATCGTAAGGGACATGTGGCGATCGGTTGATACAAAAATACTACTGTTCCGCAAACGCGGTCGAGGGCTCGCATAAAGACGTCTCTGTGAGGGACCCTTGATGAATCCGCACCCAGACACAGGAGATAGTGTCCTCAGGGGCCAAACAATATGCGCACCTCCGTACAGGCGGTCATACACATTTCTCATATCGGTAAACGCCGATAATCTGCCTTTCTCACGTTGTTGGCCACTTTTATGTGCACACGGATAATCGAGTCAAAACGATCGCGACTCCGGAGTATACACGTGAGAGACTGGCGCGGCGTGGAAAAATTATTCCACTCCAGTAGGTACGATTAATCATCGCAACACGAGGAAATAATCATCAATTACCATTCGAGCCCTCTTATCTCGGCACAACTCTCGTATTTGCCTTGCGGAGTCTTGTTCATCAAAATTGGTTAGTTATAACAGTGCCTGAAATAAAAACTCCGCTCGAATTCCGTACTTATACTTGCAGTAGTTGAGTCGGTCAATACAATTATGGTGAAAGAAAAAAAAAAATGGGTAATCAAAGATCACGGGGAGTGAAAAAAATGTTTCCACCGTCAGGGGCCGGCGGATAAGAATCTGACGGAGAAGAGCCCGTAGACCGGCGCTTCCAGTTAGACACATCATCAGCAAGAGGTCACAGCGAAGCCCCACGAGCCCGCGGATGATGGATCGCAGGCATTAGGTCCATCACCAGGAGAGAGCCTTTCGTTACCATTTTCTATAGACGCGCAAAAGCTATACGCGCATGCACGAAGGATAAAAAGCTAAAGATCGTTAGCGGGAGTCGGCGAATTTGCACCGTAATATCACTTTGGAGGGCAATGAGCGTCGAATTTTCGCGCTCGGGCAACCAATCACTCTTCCCGGGCGCAGTCAAGGGCAAGCGCATGTGAACCAGAGAACAAAAAGGGCGAGTGTATAATATTTATCCATACACCGCATCGGCGACTGATATATATGTATATATATATACATGATATACCAACTCTGCATCAGCGGTGAATTAGCATAGCGAGTATATCCTGCACCGGCTGGAGTAAGTGCGGCGAATCCTTTTGTGAGAACGGATGAGAGTCTCGTCCGCATATACCGGTCGTGGAAACAAGAAAGCTCGGGTGGAAAAAAAAGGATGCGCGTCCGTGACAAAAGGGCGCGAGAGGGCACAATATCTTTGGCACAGGTGAGTCCCTCCTTCTTCGGCTGTGGGAATGGCCGTTGCTCCAACAGGTTGAGACGTCAAGCCGAGTCCAGCGGCGAAACTGACCAGGAGAGAGAGAGAAACCGTTGACCGCGCGCACGGCGGCCACTCCGTGTGAGAATTTTCTCCCAGCGAACTTGCTTCCGTTACATCGATGCTCGTGTCTCGGCTCTCCCTCTCTCTCTCTCTCCCTGTACCACCGAGCAAATTCCCCGAGCGCACGCTTTACACGCGATAATTTGTTATTCGGCTTGTTAACCTTTTTTCCTTTTTTTTTTCCCTACCACTACTCCCAACGAGTGTGTACGAGTACATATAGGCACATGATTCTGCAGGTGGAGAATTAAGCACCAAACGCGCGTTTTCCTTTCGCGTCTCCGCCATGGAAAAATCATGAGTTCGGCGGGGGAAAGAAAAACGCTTTTAATCGTCGGTGAGGTCGATGAAGAGGGACCGGCGAGGGTGAAAAACTCCAGGAAGTTTGCTGCCTTGATATGCTGGGGGGGGGGGGGGTTCGGAGCATACACACGTCATCGCGCCGCGAGAGCCCGGTGTAATCATCACCATCACCATTATATGTGGAGGATGGGACGTGGAGTATAGGAGCGCATCTGCCGGCTGATGCATGGGCTGCGGGGGTCGAGAGAGACCAGGTGCCACGGCACCGACTTTTCCGAGCTGTCTGCGTCGCCGCTCGAGTTAACCGATTTTGAGCATCAATAATAACGGTGTGCGTGAGCCACGCGTCCGCCAGCCGTTGAGGGAAAGGAGGGAGTGTCGAGAGAGAGCGAAGCTCGTACTTTTTCATCCCATTGTTTTCGTCGAGCGGGAGAGGATGCGCATAGTCTCGTGATGGGGGATCGGAGGGCGTGTAGTTAAAATTAGATATGTACAATGTGGTCTCGGCTGGAGCTTCCGACGATATTTCTCGGTTGGTCCGCCGCGAGTCGAGAAAAATGCGTTGAAACGTATCCGCAGAGGTGAACGGCCATATTATAATGTATACTTGCCACGGGGAGCAACTCTAATCTCAAAATATACTAGATTATCGCGCTTTCTTTTTTTTTTTTTCATTTCACCGAGAGATAAGGTGCTACCGAGAACTAGTGTTTACACATTGCTCCGGTTCCCGTCCATAACACTGCGCGGTCAAAGAGTTATGTGTGTACATGCAGTCCGGGCGACTTGTCATAAGAACCGTAGGGCGCCTCCGAGACTGCAATACGATAGCCATGCATCTAATGTTATGCGCCGCGCGCCTGTGTGCAACTACACGCGGGCATTGGCTATTACGAAAAAAGGAGAAGGAGCTCAATGAGGCGGACACACAACGACGCTATTAAATTACCCGCCCCTTTTTTTTCACCCCAACAGCGTCTATAGGGTATGGTAGAGAAAGGAGAAGTTAATGATAAATGGAAAACAAACATCTCGCGCCACAGCGGACACGCAAACTCGCCGATGGCGTAATGACATTTTTCAAACATATACGCGCGTCATTGGCTTTTGGATTCTCGATTCCGATGGGATACGTGATTTATTATACGCCTCCGCGAAAAACAAGGTTATGCAAACGTTAACTTGCATGTAAATGCGAAATTCGTGCGAATGAGGAAACTCTCGGGAATCACTTATCTTCTGGAGAGAGACGATTTGCAAGCGGGCCATCGAAAACGTTACCCCGTGATCTCTACGTGGCTATATAATGAAGTCGATCTCCGACGCATCGGGCCATTTGAGAGACGCGGTCCGAGTCGGGCCAGTCTCTCGGAGGATGTCGTAGCGAGTGATTTTATAAAAGTGTATCGACAATTTTCTCGTAAGTGATTTCATAACGAAAAGTGCAGTTATCGTTGATGTATATGATAAACGGAATAGCACAAAAGTTATAGTACTTATATTATTTTCTTATACAGTGACAAGGAAAATTTTTCGTGTTTTGACGTCATCGATAATCGTTTTGTGTGTGTGTGTGTGTGTGTGTGTGTGTGTGAAATTGTGAGAAATTTTCGGAAATTCCCTTTATCTTTTTCCAGCATACTTTAATCTTGCTTCTTTACATTGTCTTGTAAGTTGTCAAACGGCTCTTGACAACTGAGCAGAATGAAAAAATTGGTTTAAAAATTACCACGTTCGTTATTATTATGCATTGATCACAATACAAATAACATGACTGATATCGATTATTTGTCATAAAAAAATCAATCAAATGTAATCGATATTAATTAAACATTCGGTTTTATTGTGTTATTCACTCGAACAAATACCCACTTGGATGCGAAAAAGTGTATAATCGAAAAAACCATATTTTGATACATTCACAAGACTATTTATAAAAATGCATGCTTCAAAATCAAATTGACACTTGAAAAATTATTTCTTTATTTTTCCGAATAACATAGAATCGCTGGGACAGCGTCACGATACGTATTTACACAGATCGATAACAATATCGTTTACGTTGTGACAGCCAAATAAATGTTGCAATATAAATTCGCGTATCTCTGGTGCGTGTTCCTCAAGATATAAAGCCCAAGGCAAAACTTATTTATCAATCAGTTAGAGAAAAGTTAGTCTCCGAGCTGGTGCTCGGCAAGCAACTCGTTAACATATTGTATGTTGTGTATTTAGATGTAAAATGGAGGGTCCCGTTATCACCACAACTGAAGGAAAACTTCAAGGCACAGTGTTAAGAAGTGTACTCGGGATCGATTATTTGGCTTTCAAAGGAATACCTTTTGCACAACCACCTTTGGGCCCACTGAGGTTTAAGGTAGTCACAGTTTTTTTTTTTTTTTGTTTTTTTTTTTTTTTTTTTCTAAATCATCGACTTTGAAGTGTTAATAAATATTTGTGCCAAGAAAAAATTAGGCACCCCAAGAGCCCTTCAAGTGGACAGGGATCCGCGATGCGTCGAGACACGCAGGTGACATGGCTATGCAAAATGACACAGTTGAGGGTCCAAAGTCAAGAGGGATATACGGCGGTGAAGACTGTCTTTACTTAAATGTGTACACAAACGCTATGGGTCACAAGAGGCCAGTCATGGTTTTTATCCATGGCGGAGGGTTCGTCGAAGGCTCGGGAAACGAATTATTTTACAGACAGGACTATCTCGTCACGAAGGACATAGTTATGGTGTGCATCAATTTCAGACTGGGACCTCTTGGTAAGTGACTTTTAGATATGTCTCCCACTCCAACGAATATTATCATCCCAACTTTTTTCAAGTGACCCTGTACTCGTCGAATCAATTTTAATTTTTTTACGATAGGTTTCCTTAATCTTGGGCACGAGGTAGCGCCGGGAAACCAAGGATTGAGAGATATTATATTTGCGCTAAAATGGGTTCAACGAAATATCGCAGCGTTTGGAGGGGATCCCAACAATGTTACTCTTTTCGGCAACAGTTCAGGATCCACGACTTGTCAGGTGTTATCATTACTGCCGGCTTCAAGAGGTACATAAAAACACCTTTTTTTTTATACATAGAAAAATACGAACTAATCTTTATTTTAATATGCATCTACAGGATTACTAAACAAAGTTATATTACAAAGCGGTACACTCTTCATATCGAAAAACCTAACGACTAACTACAAGAATGGCTTCAGGATAGCTTCGCTTCTCGGATTCAAATCCGACGATCCCGTGGAAGTCATAAAATTTTTGCGCACAGTTCCAGCCCGGGATCTAGTCGCATTGGAAGGGAAACTCCTGTCGAAATACGTAAGTACGGACAAGCGTGTGATCATTTTTGATAATGTTTCCTGATCTCAAAATCGTCGTATTTTTTTAGGAAAGAATTGTCCTGGGTAAGCACGAGTATGAGCCGGTGATCGATGCTGATTATACGAGTGACCCGGTCATACCTCATCCGATCAGTGAACTATGGAAAAATGACTCGCACGTACCAATGATCATCGGACACACTTCCAATGAATTTCTGCTAAATCTTTCAGGTACGTTTGAGGCAATTTAATTTTTTTCAACACTGATAAACAATTATTACTTGAACCATTTGCCAATAGGTCGATTCAACGATGAAACTTACAAGTTTTACAATGACCACATCGAAGAGATACTTCGAAATTTATCCCCACTGAAAGATGAGAGCGGCTTTTCCGAAGTAGTGAGACGCGCTAGGGAATTTTACTTGAAAGATCGGCCCATCGACAAGGACACGGTCTGGAACTTGGTCAATTTGATGACCGACTTCAAGGCGATAACTGGCAATCGAAAGGTCATCGACGCGAGGAACGAGCACGCGACTGCTCCCACTTACGTTTATAAATTGACGTACATGGGGGACCAGCCAACGATTTACAACTACGATCACGGCAGGCAACCGTATCAAGGTAGGATCAACTTTTTGACGAACCAAATATTGTCTTGACCGAAAACACTGTGACACCGTCATCGTTGTTTAGGCGTCGCACACGCTGATGAGCTGTCGTACTTGTTTTACCATTACTACATGAGGGAAGATGGCAACGAGGACCAGTTTCCCAAGGAAGGTACCAAGGACAGATACGTGATGGAGAGGTTTTTGAGAATGTGGTACAACTTTGCTCTGACCGGGTGAGCCAAATGATGATTTTCTTTTTCTTCCAATTTAAAGAACTTGCAAGCGCATGAAAATTAAATTGACGTTTAAAACGCCGTGTGCAGGAACCCTACTCCGGAGCTCGACGACCAGTACATCACGACTACTTGGAAGCCCTCGAGTAAGGATAACCTGTACTATCTCGAAATAGGCGACGAGCTGACGCTGCGGGACGACAGAGATTCGGAAAGTCGAGCGATCTACGAAAAGTATCGCTCTCTGATGCTTCATTAATTAAATACACTCGATCCTGTACTAGACAATACTAAAAAAGAGAAGGTTTTTCTCATTATCGCGAAATACATTTATGTTATGGAAAATGGCTTTTCTTCCGACTGTCACGAAAAAAAAAAAAAAAAAAAAAAACATATCCCGGTAGCTCACCTTCCTCCGGTTATCGGCGCATCAAAAGACCTCTGCAGACCAAGTATTACCAAGAACGACGAACAGGTCGTTGGCGCGCGCGTGGGCCGGGATCGTAGACGTCGGCGGTCCTGCAACGGGGGAGGCTTTGCGCCGCCCGGAGTTTCTCCATCCGCCACGGCAATCGTGATTTGTCGTGCCCCTTAAACGAACTAATAAGTATCTCGCGCTCAAACGAGTTTCCGCTGCTCTCCACATGGTACACGCGGATCAGAGTTTCAATCGGCTAAGGAGCTTTTAAAGATTGATGCGGGCAACTCCAGGAATATCTATCTACGCGTTACACATTACATCCAAGTCGGTTTATTGATGTGGTCAATTACAGGTAGGTGTACCTATACACCACACCATGTATGGGTACTATCGCGATTGGCAAACAATGGCCGAAATTAGCAGCCGATCGATCGGTTTAAAAGGCCAATCGACGTATAGGATAAAGCTCGGTGCCTCGAATAATTTCATCGAAGGAGCATTAGAATCAGTTGAGCCGAACCCAAGTGATAGAGCAACGTACCGGTTCCTTGGGAATCGCCGCTCGGCGTTTCCAGCTCCGCGCGAAAAGCTCCCCGAGCGGAATTTCGCGCCGATCGCGCGGCCGGCAGCCGTGTATATAATCTAAAACACTGTGCGAGGTATATATATTATATACTCTCGCGCGCGAGTATAAGTTTCAGACAAACGCGAGCGGGGCTCGGTCGCGGTCGGACATAATTTTCTTATACATAGCTTTGGCGCAACAACAACGCGTACGTGTACGATACGGCGTCGTGGCAATAATCGCGGGCCATTTATCTATCTCCTGGCGCAACGAGTCAATAATATTCGCCGGAGATCCGATCGAGATTTCTCTCCCCCGCGAGTGAGACTCGTATTAATACTCGTCGATAATTGTAGGCCCGGCGTTGCTGCTGTTGCCGGCGCGGAGAGAGAAGAAAGACCGCATAGGCGCGCTATCGATCATACACACACACACACATATGTGTGTAGTATAGTGGCGCGGCGCGAGAGAGAATAATCATGATGATAATGGCGCGAGCACGCGCCCGGTGCTGACTATCTTATCCCTCGCACGTGCACGTGTGTGCACTCCGCAACTCGCGGGCCCAATAGCTTCTTTAGATAGCCCTTTACGTGCTTATCGGCGAATCGATAAATCATAAGCGCCTTAAGGACTTTTGCTAAACCCTATGCATTGTTTTTGTTTCCCCCTTCGGTTGTATACATATGCTTCAGTTGAATGGGCGCCAAGGCGGAATTTCGTAAAAACTCGATTTCTAGAGCAAGCGTGACTTTTTTTTTCCCCCTTCCTCTTGAGGAAAGATCAAAGCGCATGGGTATATATGTGTACACCTAAACGGCCAGCTTTGCGAGAAACAATATCATTAAGAGAGAGTCGCGGGCGAAATTACAGCGTTGCGCCGAACCTGCTTGAGACGAGGAAAAATGAAAGAGAGGAGGAAGAAAGGAACAATGAGGTATCGCTCACAAAGTGCAAGCCTCGGTAAACGATAAAAAAAGCCTCTGGCATCAGACAATATCAAATGCAAAGTGTTCGATGACGCACAATGTGCGGTGATCCGAGTGCACTGGTGTATATATACATATATAAGAGTACGAAAGAGGAGGTCGATGAATATCTACATACGACGACGCATCTCTCTCTGTTCGTTTCCGTTGAAGGACTTCCGCGAGAGTAAGTAAGTACTTGGTACATTATGTGTAAGCGTGTGTATGGGTGCATCGCGTGGGCAGAGAAGCTGCTGGGTCGTAATGGAGCTCTCTGCCTTCACTTTGCGTCGACGCGAGCGCCGCTTTTTGCAGGGGCTTCGACTTTTGTGCCGCGCGATAGACAGAGTGACTAATGACAGGCACCGATTGGACCTTTTATTGCTGATGATGATGCGCCGTAAATGAATCGCTCGGCCTTTTTGTTGTTGCTGGTGTTCTTTTTTTTTTTTTTTTTTTGTCTCGTTTTTCTTGTAGTTAAAGCGGAGGCGTGTAAAAACGCCAATAATGCAGATAGATAAGTGGCAGAACTTGCCCGGCGCGAGAGATTAGTGCTCCGTACCTGTATTATTATGATTATTTTATTATTTCGTAGTTGTTAGACCGATGGTGTCACCTCGTAATGAATACATCGTATCCGACCAAAGATATACTCGGCAGAGATTTTGCAAAAGTCATACAGCCGTTGGAAATTGAAATGTATTTATTCAACGGAGTATAACAGGTGACGGCTTTAACGAGGCGAAAATTCATTTAATGGGGTGCACGCGCGAAGACTCGATAATTTCGTGAGATCGCGAAACCCGAGGGAATTCCCAAGCGGTGCGTGTAACGTGGTATGTATACGCGAAATACAATATGCATTACGCGCTGCTCACATGATAGGTAGGTACCTACTGCACGGGAGTCTATGTACTTGTTAAAAGAGTCGGCAGCAGTAACATTTACGAGGCTAAAAGGCGATAACTGCCGGGCGATTAGAGAGTCGCCGAGATCCCCTGACCATTTTGCCATTTTATTCACACATTGAGGCCACTGTCGTGTGTATTATACGCACAGTTGGTGCACACACGAGCGGTGTATCCGCGGTACAAGTACACAATATAGATGAACACACGCTTTCTCTTTGCGAGCGCGAGATAGACAATGGCGGGCTGCAACTATACGGCAGCCAGCTTGCAGAAACAATAGCCCGTGTGCGTTGACGGGGCGAAAATTGTTTGTTGCGAAAAGTCGCTCCGTAGGTATAAATATAATAATATTATACAGCGGGCAACCCGATACGCCGTCCGAGTGGACTACTACTCTGCACACGCGCGTGTAACGTATATAATGTGTCCGCGAAAGACGATTTAAAAGTTAACAAGAGCGCGATGATAAGTTTTTTTTTTCTTTTTCCCCTCAATCTCTCGTTTGTTGTCTATACGCGCTTGGGTTTCCGATACGAACAACTTGTTGGGAGTTTCATTTTTATTAATCAGCTGCTCGGTGTACATGTATCATTATTATGCGCGTTTTTGATTAGATAATAATAAAATATATGTATGCCCTTCATTGTTCTTCCCGTTTTCATGGGCTGTAGAGCGGCAATAATTCACGCGAAGCACGCCCGTAACTTATCCAGTCGGCACGTTCAACCGTACGCTAATGACTAATAAGTGTATATACCTGCAACGTAATCCATACGTCACGTGCTAAGCACCACAAGCAGATAAGACGCAAACGTAATTATAATGTGCATGCATGTGTATCCTTATGTGACTTTGCAGCCGCGCGCATCGATATATATATGCTTTTGCCTTATCGTCATGTGCGGTTAATAATATAATAAATAAATAAAGCTTCAAAGTGTAAGAGTTGACGACCGGAATGTCATTACTTGCAATCACCAGTCGTGAGCGTATACGTGACGCTCATTGTTGTTTCATGCATCACGTACCGGTGAACTTGGGGCTTGCACATCCCGCAGGTTGTTTGTCGCGTCGCAGAGACCCGATGATTCGGTGACGTCAGATTTGTTGTTTCCCGAGTGGTACGAGGAACGAGAGATTGTGATATCTCGACCAGATGGGGAAAACTCACTGCCAAGGCCACGCATTTGTATATGTATTACATGCCGGCACTTGTGCCCTCTCTTTCACATTAAGTACGGGACGGATCACCGGGTTTGCTCGCGGCCTTGGATTTAACGCAAACTTTACGGTAGCTCATTGTGTTTGGATGTTTTTTTTTTTTTTTTTTTTTTTTTTTTTTTTTTTTTTTTCTTACGATGAAAGAAAAAAAAACATTTTCTTTTACAATAAAACATCACGCCCGGGTTATTCAACAAATTCTCGTTTGTTCGCTTTTCTTTATTGTTGTTGCAACGCGGAGCCCTTGGCNATGGGTTTTTTTTTTTTTTTGTCCGTCACAGGAGTCAAAAGCACCTATGACTTTACCAGCTCGTTTGAGATTACTATTTTACTACGTATAATCTATTTTTTTTTTTTTTTTTTTTTTTTTTTTTTTTTTTTCTTACGATGAAAGAAAAAAAAACATTTTCTTTTACAATAAAACATCACGCCCGGGTTATTCAACAAATTCTCGTTTGTTCGCTTTTCTTTATTGTTGTTGCAACGCGGAGCCCTTGGCGATAAAAGAAAAACAAGTCGATCAAGAGTGAATTCTCACGAAGCAGATCTTTTCCTATTTGCGGGGGTAGGTACACCCGTGTACGCACAGGTACAAGGTAACTCTTTTCGGTATTCCGAGGCACGCTTGCACCGCGAACCAGAGGGTATCGTCGTCATATCGGCAAGCATCAGAGCTCCAAAGGGGGGAAAAAAATGCCGCTGTCAAAGGCTTCTCTTTCTCTCGGGAACGAGCGTCTCGGGAGGAATGAATATCGTCTTACCGAGGCGCACGTGCTACACACGCGCGAGCTCACTTATATACACCGCAGGTTGCAAGAAAAGTGTATCATCTGTCGTGGCTGTTCCTCTTACTCTTTTTTTTTTGCTCCTTTTCTAATATCGTTGTATATTTTATTCTTTTTCCCTGCTCTCCTCGAGGATTCATTGAAAGAGTTGCACTTTTCGCGGGGCCTGTTTACACAATACGATGATCCAGTGGAATGCGAGTGTAATGGCACGATGTACAGCTCGTTTTCCAGAAGCCCTCTCTAATATATATATATGTATATGTAATATCACGTAATGGGCGCATATTGTCGAGGGAAGCTGGTATACGGGCACACATTTTCAAAACGGATGACGTACAGGCAGACTCGTGATGCCCGAGA